AGAATATGGATGTTTATACAATTTTATTGTGTTTCCAGAAGTGGTCCACAGTGGCCTAAAAGTGCTCTTGCCCGAGGTAACTGTTAAGGTTCCTAAATCCAGCGGTTGTCTTTGCGCCATTATTTTTTGGACCTCTTGGAAGCACCTAGCAATTGCTCCTTCTTGCACCTTTCTGCTCCCTTAGCTTCTGTTCCTTACATTCCCCCACCTCTTTTTTTTTTTTTTTTTTTTTTTGAGACAGAGTCTCACTTTGTTGCCTGGGCTAGAGTGCTGTGGCATCAACCTAGCTCATAGCAACCTCAAACTCCTGGGCTCAAGCAATCCTCCTGCCTCAGCCTCCCAAGTAGCTGGGACTATAGGCATGCGCCATCATGCCCGGCTAATTTTTTCTATATATATTTAGTTGCCTAATTAATTTGTTTCTAATTTTAGTAGAGACGGGGTCTCACTCTTGCTCAGGCTGGTTTCGAACTCCGGACCTTGAGCAATCCTCCCGGCTCGGCCTCCCAGAGTGCTGGGATGACAGGCGTGAGCCACCGCGCCCAGCCTCCCCCACCTCTTTGAGTCTCTTCCTTCAAACCTCCCAGCAGCCTTGGCTTCTGCCCGGTCTTTGAAGGTGGCTGTTCCTCGGGGTTCCTTCTTTTGAGCCAGAGATGTTCTCATACTATAAAACTCTCTCTGGATGAACTCATTCACTCCATGGCCTCTCATCTCTGTCTCTGCTGCGGAACTCAGACCCACATTCCCAGCTTCCTATTGGACGCTCAGGCAGCACCCACTCTAGGCCAGGCAGTGTTCTAGATGCTAATGTTACGGAGTGGAACAGAACGCCCACAAAAGGCCCAGTGAAATCAAGAGAGCCCTTCAAAATGGAAAAGAGAGGCAGACGAAGAGGTCAGAGTGATGGGAAGAGAGGAGGACTTGCCTTTGCTAGCTTTGAGGACGGAGGAAAGGAGCCGGAAGGAAGCCAAGGAATGGAGGTGACTTCTGGAAGCTGGAAACAATCTCTCCCCTAGAGCCTCCAGAAGGAATGCGATTTTTTTTTTTTTTTGCTGAAACTTTGATTGCAGCTCCATGAGACCCATTCCAGACTTTTGACCTCCAGAACGATAAGAATCTAAATATGTATTACACACACACACACACACACACACACACACACACACACACACACACAGAGGCACATGCAAAAATGTCTGATTGGGCAGAGGGTGGAGGAGACAGATAATAAAATTAAAAAGTAAACATGTAGTTTGTTGGATGGTGATAAATACTGTGACAAGTATAAATTAAGGAAGGAGGATAGGAGTCAAAATTTTAACAAGGTTTAGTGGCGAAGGCTTCACGGAGAAAGTGACATTTGAGTAGGACTCTCCAGTTGAATGGCATCGCTGCTTACAGACACCTCGAATTCAACACGTTAATACTATCCTCTTTATTTTCCCCTCTCAAATTGCTCTTTCTCTATTCAGTGCTGCGGCCAATGGCAGTGCCATGGAACGGCTCCTCAAGTGGGAATTCTAGGAGTCATTTTCTTTTATTTTCTCCTTCTTTTTCTCGATCCTACTCTCTATGTCATTAAGTGTTTCGAATTCTACCCTTTAATAGCCTGTGTCTCTGTCTTCCCTCCCTCACTCTCAGGAGATGCACGTGACGGAGTCCTGATGGTTCTGCCCTGGACTACGGCCTGCGTCTGGCCTCCCCGCATCCCGACCTTCCTCTGTGCTGCTTCTCCACGTTGCAGGCACGGCAAGCTCTCTGCAGCACGCGCAGGACTGTGCGCCCCCTCGCATAAAATCCTTCGCTTCTGTCCAGGGTCTTGTGACTCCAGTCTAAACTCTACAGCCATAAAATACAAGGCCTCCACGATCTACTGCTGCCCTGCACTTCTCAGTGTTCCTTCCCGATATATCACCTTTATAACATACGGCTTAGGATGGTTGAAAAACTTTTATTGCTATTTTGCTGCTGGGCCCCTGCACAGGTCTAAGAGCACCCTGAGGGCTGGGTTTACATCTCCTTGTTCTCTCTGTCTCCGGTGCCGAGCAGAGGCAAGCACCCAGTGAATGCCCTGCTCATTGAATGAAATTGGAATTGGCTAGTTTGACAAAACAGAGCCATGCTGCTTTTCTAAGACCATGCCCGTGACGGACGTACAGGCTGTAGGTCTGAGATTCTTTTCGGGAACATTCAGTGGCACGTCTACACCTGGTTATATCCATCAGCCTGACATAATGTATTAGCCTAATGTTTAAAAGGGAGGAGAATGATTCTCAAGCATGAGTAAGAACAAGAAGTCTTTATGTACACAATGTTAACCAGAGTAGCACTTCACTCATTTTTCAGCTTTAATGATTAGTAAAATATTTTTGTCTAAGTGAATTTTCCAGGCAACTAAACTTACCCTTTTAAGCACCAAGTCAATTTTTAAAAACAAACATTGGCAATGGGCGGAATTTCTATATCACAGATAGATCGCTTGCTTGCCTTACTAATTTAAGCTCACTGAAGATAATTTTCCTTCTTTAGAGAGATGTCGTATGACAATAATTATCACCCTTTTCTGCATTCTTTCCCCCAATCTATGAACGGATGGTCCATAGTGAACTGACATTAAAATTAAATGTAAGTTGCTGGCATTCAAAAGTCAGAAGCTCAAATAAAAGCCGTGTTTCCAGTTTCTTTTGAACAATGAGAAGTGGAGGTGCCTGACCTGCAGCCCCCTGAGGCCAGGTGGTGGGATCTCCCTTGGTTGGGCACACACTGAAGTCCCTGCTGTTCTCCTTTTTGCTATACCTGGCCAGTTATCGAATGCATTCACATCACCCAACCAGCCATCCGGTTAATACATTCTGAGCGAGGTGGAGGGAAGAGCAGAGCTTTGAGAACACAGCACCCATGTGGAGAATGAAGTGCTAATATTGATAGTTTGGGACCAGCCTGGTGACACTGAAGGTGGAGGTGATAAATTGGGTAATGACGGGGAGTTTCCTCAGTCTAAATTTATTTTTAGTCCCAAATAAATGTTGAAGCATATTGGAACCTTATTAAATCAAATCAGAAATAGAAGGAATGAAAACAGGTAAGTCAAGTGGTGGAAACAATCAATTAAATTCACTTATTACATAGAATTCTGGATATCGATATACCATTTTCCCAAAGGGAATTTAATTAGAATGTCACAATGGTTGAGCTGCAGCAGTGGTAAGCAATCATGAATACTGTTAAAAAATATATATTAGGTTGTCTCTTTTCTTACAGGCACATAGTAAGACTGCATTTCTCTGCTGGGTTGCAGGGCCATGGGTCTTATTTTGGCCAGCGAAACATGAATGAAAGTGAAGTGTTGCACTGCTAGGCAGGAGTTTTAAGAGTCCATGCTGTTTTCCTTCTGCAATGTTCTAGAGTGTGCTACTCTACCCAGCTTGGCCTTAGAGGGGAGAGAGCCACCAGTAGGACCCTGATGTGCATGCAGTATGAATGATAAATTGCCTTTTGTTGTTTCAAGCCAGTGTGGGTTGTTTGTTACAGCAGCATAGCTGAGCCTCTCCTGATTAATCTACAATATGACTCATTTATGGTTTGGGGCCTATCTTTTATCCCATATTATTATTATTTCTTAATATTTTTTTCTTTATATCATCTTCAAATGAAAACTTTTTAAATGTAGCCTTATTCTAAGCAATACATGTGGTACATACTAGTTATTAATATATTTCAATGATGTTCAAAGGAGATAGACAGATAGCTATTAAAAGTAATCTAACATACCACATTTGGGGAAACACTGAGGTAAAAATCAGAGATACACCTGATGTTGAAGGCTGCAAAATAGGAAACTGTGCTCTAAATCTTCAGATTTGGGTCTGAATTTGAATGCCATGCCAACATTCAGTTAACTATACTGCTTTTTGGACATACCAGCAATCAGGAAGGGATGTATGTTATGAGTTTAATATTTAAGTGGATACATCATCTATAAACCATATCAGGTTTGTTTACAAAAGCCATTAAAAAGGACGACATCATCAGCAAAATGGTCTAATTTGTATATGCAAATACAAAGGTGTACAGGTGTAAAGATAGATCCATACATGGTTTTACAGCCTTCCTTATTGCATCCTTGAGTACTTGACCTTTAGCATCAATTAAAATCATTATGTATACAGCTGGCAAATCCTGTCTTAGGGGTGACAAACATAGACGCATGCATAATTACCATTTTGAAACAGACTGAGTAGATTATAAAAAAAGGTAGGGGATATTTTATGGGAGTGACAGCCAAGAAAAGGTCTCAGAGACACCTGCCATTTGGTGCAATCTACTGTAAAACCTCAAGTAACTCATATATATATATATATATACACATATATGTATATATATGCATTGTAGAAACAACGTGCATTCTGAATGTAATTCATGCAAAATAGGAAATACACAGGTGAAGAATTTGGATATTAGAAAGAAAAACCTGTTGTCTCAAAATGATGTAATTGAAACAAACAAAAATCAAGTAAAAAAATCTGCTCTATGTAGAAGGAGTTTTGAAATTAGAGATATTTAGCCTTGAAAAAGGAGAGACTAACAGGAGACATAATAGCCATTGCCAAATAATCGAAGGGTTGCCATGGCAAAGGAGCAGCGGCTTTATTTGTGTATGCCAAAGGAGGTAGGATGGAGAAAAGTGGGCAAATCTGCAATGAAATTTTAGACTAAAATTAAGGAGGCTGTTTCTAGCTGCTCATCTTCAGGAAGCTCTGGCAATCTTCAATAGGGACCGTGTGAACTGCCTCTTCGGGGAGTGCTTTGTAGATTCCTAATATCAAGAAAGACTATAAAGGCCAGTAATTTACCATCCACACTTACAAGCCTCAGTCCTTTGATTAACGTTTAGTCAAGGAACAGCAGGGAGTATATACCATGCCTCCCCCAAACTATTAATTACAGACCAACAAAGTATTGCAGGTTAACCGAATATTAAAAATATTTCAAGATAGTACCTTTCATTTTCTCTTAATATGTCCCTTCCTTTCTTCCAAGTGTACACAGGTTTTGGAGAAGCTTTTGGCTTACACTCAATGACAACTTCACCTCCCACTTTGACAAGAGTTACTCTTTTCAAAAGTGTTCTTGAAAAATCTGGACCTGCAGCTGGAAGACAACGTAAAAAATTAAATTATTATTATGCAAGAAGCCTCCCCCCACGAGATCATTCTGTAGAGTCTTTTTCTTTCTCTAATGCACTTATTGGTGTGTTAATCGTCAAAGAAGGATGCTAAATTTTTTTTAAAGTAAAGCAAGTAGCACTGTAAATTTTGATAGATTTACTAAAATTTGAGGTACAATTTGTGCTTGTTAAAATGCACAAGTTGTATGTGTACAGCTTGATGAATTTGGTATACACCGTGAAGATCAAGACAGAGAACATTTTTATCAACCTATTGAGGGATTCTTAGAAAAACAACTTATTCTATTTTCAAGTAGACAAAAATTTTAAAATTTCAGATGAGTAAAAGAGGGAGAAACAAAATAAGAACCTCTATGAGGCATTCTTCTGATTGCGTAGGTTAAAGCATCCCCTCTCTGATATAGTTAGCACCTCTGCTCAGTCTCATAACACTGTGCACATATACATCTTCATTAGGAAACATGCTGAAATGTCTATACTGACATCTTCTGTAAGTTTCTCCTTAAAAAAAGGGGCTTTATTCAGCTTTTCACTCCCAGTGCCTAATGCAATGCTTGGACCATTTAGGAAAACCTGTGGCTTGCTCTCGGAGCATAGATCTTTAGAAAACTGTATTACATGCTCATCTCTAGTGTTCTAAAAAAATCATTCATGCTGACACCAGTTACACAGTCATATGGAAATAATATTAAGGCATATTTTTTTTAAAACAAAAGATACATATCTATCTCTTCACGAAAGTAAAATAAAAGATGTCTTTCTAGAAAAATCTATATTTTCTTCAGAGTTAATTGATCAATGTGTGAGAAGAGATTTTGGAATGGATGAATTCATCTCTTGGAATCTTAATTTTACTATATTTAAAACCTCTGACTCACTGCAATTTGACCTGACAAAATTTAAGATTTCAGATCATGTGGAATGTAAAATTTAAATACAAACCACAGATTACTTAAAGGAGGACTGGGAATGAGTTTGTGTTATGTGGGTGGGGGGGTGGAGGTCAATTTCTTAAATGTACCTAAACCATATGCTAGTGATTTTAAAACGTAAAAACAAGCTTCAGTGGAAGAAGCAAATTAAATCTTTATTAAGTGCTTTTGTTGTGGAAATATTTTCAGTAATTGCCTAGAAACAGATAGAGATAGAAAGGTTACTTTTTAATGGGGTGATACGATGCACACATAGAACTGGCATTACCATGTGAAAGTGAAATTAAATAAATGAATCCAGTAGGCAACTGATATCTTAATCTGTGTACCTTGGATTCACGAGTGGAGTCTGTAATTCAGAGAGCAGTTCGATGACAATAAGTGCAATTAACAAGTGGAGTGCAAGTATAGATAGATGTTTCTGCTATAATGAGATAAATGCATTCCTAGTATGGTCTGCCAAAATCACATCATAAAAATTACAGGGTCTATGAAAAAGGGTCAGGGAAGACCTACTCAGAGTTTATGTAACAAGAACACTAACAAAAATGATAACCATCCCGGTAAACATTAATCATGATTAAATATAAAACACTATTAAAAAGATAAGTCGAATTCATAATAGAGAAAATACAAAAATACAGTGTCTGACATGCGTGTGTGCACACATGTACGTGAGTATAAGAAAGCAGCTTGAAGGAAGAAAAAAGAAGGAAGAGTTGAGATCACTAAGCTCTGAAATAAGGGCAAAGTGCAGGACAATTGAGAACTATGCAATAAGCATCACCGTGTTAGGGTACATGGCAGAGGGCAGGGGGGCAAGAGGAAGAATGTGCCTTGAATGGGAATCTTGTGCGGTAGGTTCCTTCTCTTGGCTAGCTGTGTTGCTCTGTTGGTGGGCTTTGTGTTTTGAGTTGCTGCTACTTAGTGAAATACATGAACAGAACCAGTGTCTATGTTATACTGACATCGTTCCCCACTTACCAATTCCTTATAAGCTAGTTTTTGTCATGGAAAAGTGTTTTAGCAAAACAGACTCATTCTCATCTTAGATAAACATCTGAGTTGACGCCAAAATATAAAAAAAAAAAAAACCAAAACAAGTCTTCTAGAAGTTCTTTTAAACAGATAGTTTGTGAAATAAAGTTGTAAATCTGTATTACATAAAAATCCCTTCTTAAAACTGTATCTTTCAACATACATTTCTTTTTATCACTTTAGGCAGACATTTTTTAGCTGTTCAGGAGGAATTCTGCAGTAGCATTTGAAATGAATTTACATAAATCAAACCGTGCACAACACATGGGTGTATTTGTCAAAAAAAAAAACCCAAAAACTATATATTGCTTTTACTGGATTTTAAATAGCGTATTAGCCACACAGAAAACAGAAAATACACCTTCCAGTTTCAAAGGCATTTGTAATGTATTATTTATGTGCATGTTATCTTTTGGAGATTTTAGAGATAAGACTGACTTGAACATCTTTTTCTCTAATAAAAATGTAATTATTATTATGTTACCAGGTCATTGTTAATGACTTAGTCTATTAAGAACATATGTATTTTTGTAAAGGAAAAGCACTTGTAGATATTTAATCAGTACAAGATACATCTTTTGCAGAAATGCTGTTTAGAGATTCTCTTTAAATATTTTTTATTTTTGTGCTCAAATGTATTTTCTGTTGATCTATGGAATGTTCTGTACAAAGCTGTATGATTGTACAATTGGGCTAGATACTTTTTTATTTTTTAAATCTGAACTCTTAGCCAAGTATATTTGACCATGTTAAAAGTACAGTTATCTTCTTCACTCCTGTAGTATTTCGTCACAAGGAACTGACTCTTATCTTGAAGTAAACAGAAGATTAAGACTTCAAGTAATCTAATTTGTTTCTATAGTATTTATTTATCTTGTGAGTGGTTTCATTAGAAGAGGTCAGTGTATGAAGTATGTTTTGAACATTATACCAAATATCAGAAAATGTGAAGGACTAACCCAAAATACAAAAGCTTTATGGGGGGGTTGTAAATATGAATTATAAAACAGTTTAGGATGCAATTATGACTATAAATAAACTTGGTGCCTTATTTACAGCTAAAAAAAATTGATTGCATAAAAAAAATGGAATTATCAATTCAAACATTTTTCTTTTGTCTGCTCAATTTGCTTCTAGTGTTATCTAACCCTGCAAATGTATCAGTTGTCACCAGAGGCTACAGTGCTTTCTGCTGCAAAACTGTCAGAACTTCATCAAGTTTTGAATAGTTGACTCAGCGATGGGTTTCTTAACATTCTGCCATTTTGTGCACCTGAGATGCTGCATCTTTTGCACCTGAGATGCTGTTCAGCATGTGGGATTATCTGGACCCTGCATTTACTGTGACCTTCAAACATTGGCGTAGCAGAGGCTTGAAGGAAAAGTGAAAGCAGCACTTCCAATTTGATACTCACAAACAGTGAGGTTTTAAAAGTTATTGGTGAGGTGAAACTTCAGTAGGTTCCTAATAGTTCAGAAAAGACAAAACCAACTGTCAAATTACACACTTAAGTAGCTCGGATTCTGGGAGACCCGAATCTGCTAAATCTGATACACTGAAAGGAGAATATTTCTCAAGTCCACTGCTAGAGGGCACCACTCCCTCAGTGTTGGAACGAGTCATGCTACAGGACCTCTTCCATGTGGAAAATGCAACTGTTTTTTATTTATCAATGATCTTTACTACATTAACTTTATCGATGAGAAGCATCTGGTTAAAAAGAAGCCCTGTAAGCAACTTACAACTGTTTGTTTCCACTTAATAAAATGACTCTTGGTCACATTATCAAAGGCAGTCTAAGGCCAAGAGAACTCTTAAAAACAAAAGTTCTGTGCCTTCATTATTAGTGTAATTTTTCAAGACACATAGTAGAATGATAACTCCTTAACTAGACAGGCAGTGGCAGTCCCATTTGGGAAATATATGGTTGTGACGTTTTACTATATTGTTGAAGAGGAAAGGATGATTATGCATGCCAGTTCTACCACAGTTGGCCTGTAGAAGCATCACTGGGAATACGGCACGTTGATGGAGACTATTAAGGCTGGCCCTTTTGGAAGTACAGAATTTCATATTATTCTAAACTTTGTCTATTATCTTTATTACCTCATCCTTCTCTAAAAATAAGCTTACAGTGAAGGCATTGATTCAAATCTTCCCACAACGGAGAAGAAAATGCTGGCATCAGATTATAAGACCCAAACCTTCTTCTGGCCTGCTGAGTTACTGTCTATTAACAAAAGGCAGGGTACAGTGGAAATTTTCTTCCTTCTAGGTACTTCATTTCAGAATGGCGGATTCAAAATCGGCCCTCTCTAACCAGCAATGGAGAGACTCTCAGCAAAGAGACTCTCTGCAAAACTCTGAAGTAGATGATTTTTCCATTCCTTTCTGATGTTAGCAACATGCATCCCTTGTAATGTCCCTAAGAAGTGTACCCTGCTCGTTCGGGTCTAACTGACTGAATGCCCTATTTCCTGAGGGCTCTAATAATGCTTCTACCATGGCAGCTCTTATATTTATGGGCTCCTATTCCTTTGGACAAGTTATTACGAAGCAAAAAATAATATTTACAGTCACAAGGTTGTTTTGAGGATTAAATGAAATAATACATGTATTGTATGTACATAAAGTACTTAGCAAAATATTTGGCAAAATTAAGAACTTCCTACTTCCCATTCCCTACTCCTATTTCCACCACAACTCTACACTCACCACCATTATCAGGGACTTTTTTTTTATGCTGAACAATTTCTTAGAGTCAGAGAAATACATCTTTGTTTGAAAAAAGATAACTTTTTATTTTGAAATAATTATTAATATCCATTCACAGAAAGTTCCAAAGATAATACAGAGAGGTGCTGTGCACCCCTTACCTAGTTCCCCCCACGTGGTTGTATCTTATGTGAATACAGTCCAATATCAAATAAGGCAACTGATCATTGGTATAATGTGTGTGTGTAGTTCTGTGTCATTTAATCACGTTAGACTT